TGAATTTCTACTCTATGAAATTACAGTGTCCCATAAGGTTTCTAGTACCTCATGATTAGGGGAGACAAATATTAACAACAATCAACGCAAACAATATACATCATTAAATTAAGTAATCAGTTCCTACTATGACATCTACAATGAGAATTGGCACAACAAACAGAAATGGTATGATAAGCGATTTCCAATAGTAAAAACAATAAGTTTGCAAAAGCGTTTGCAATTTCAAATGGTGGACAGGGAGAATGCAGAAGAGATGCAGGATGATTATGATGGAGGCATAGAGAAAATAGAAGTAAAATATTAAAGGAAGAGCGAATAGAATTTGGCTGTTAGCAAAGAAAGGAAAAAGAAAGAGAATCAAGAGAATTAGGTAAAAACAATACAAAACCAAACCAAAATACCCTAATAAACCCCCCTAGATCTGAAAAGATAGCGTCATCAAAAATAGCTGCCTTCAAAAATGCTAGAAATGAGAGACACAAATATGTATATGTATAAATGTCCATGAAACATTCAGCAAACAAACAATCCAAAAAAAAGAAAGAAAGAAAGAAAGAAAGAAAAGAAAAGAAATAAAAAAGAAGAAAAAAAGTTCTTAATGAAAAATTAAGGAATTGTTTCTGTTGTAGTGTTCAAAAATTGTCAGTTGAGAATATATGTTCATTGTCTGTTCCCAAATGTCTTTTYATTTTTTTTCTTGAAGTATGTATTATATATAAGAATAGGAGCTTCAGGTTATCAAATCCTTCCTCTGTTTGTGTTGTTTGTCAAGTTGCTAGTTGGAGTTCAAAAATTCTCAGTTCCCTTCTCAGCAGTATGAGGTGGAGAGAGTTGGAGTGTGTTATCTGCTCTACTCTCAGGGTGGAATCACTGTAGACTTCTGTAAGAGGAATTCCCAGAGACAGAGCTCCTGAAGACAGGGGTTAGTTCTAGGTAGGTACAGGGTGCTTCCTGGAGTGCCGATTGGTCTGAAGATTTTAAATCAGGGTACCTCCAGGGCCCAGAAACTGCTGATCCATACTTGGAGACTGTACCCCTGGAGTCTACCCTGAGTTGCACTTGTGCCTCAGAGGAGCCAATCTTCTTCACCCTTCTCCACCCATGGATCTTGCCCTTCCTGGCCTCCTGGGCTCAGTCCCCAATCACAGTCATTCCTGGATACCCAGTCAAATCCGACCTGCCCCAGCTGGTTCTGAGAGCTGCCAGACTCAAAGGGAGGGAGGGACCTGGGATCTCTCAGGTCTCTACTCCCCTTATTCTCCTGGTTAACACACCCTCTATGCTTAATTTTCTCCTGGTTTCCTAGGTTCACTATGAGTTGTGTGGCAGGTGTCTGCCAGTTCTGCTTTTTGGACCCAGCTTGGCTTTCCAGATATGGGCTCCTAAACTCACTCCCACAGTCACTGGTGTCCTTAGCATAGTGAAAAGATGGCTCTTCCCTTGGCTCTCCACACACAACAGGGAGATGAGTGGTGTCTTTACCACATGCAAGTATAGTGTAGTACGTCCTCTGGGTCAGTTCACCAGTGTCTTTGATCTCTGATTTCTCCATACCAAGACACACCATAGTGCCATCTGAAATGCGAGTTCTCATAGTCTCCCTCCCCACTTTGTCCAGTGCAGATCATGTCCTGCAGGTGTGGGTGTGGGCAGAGGGCTTTCTTCTTTTATTTTATTATCTACAACCTATACTACCTTCTGAGTCCATAAGCTGTTCTGAGAGTCCAGTATTAAATCCCAGTAAAATCCTTCTTTCACCCACCCTACTGTGAAGCTGTTTATCCTCTTTTCTGATCTCACGCCAAGGAGTGGCTTGGAAAGCAAGGTCTTCTACTCTGCCATCTTCCCCCGGGTCATGGAAAGCCTCATTGTTGAGGTGCAGAGATCCCAGCTATGCCATGGTAGGTCCAAGTAGAGAACCCACAGCAACCTCTGTTTGGAATTTATTTTTTAATAGTTGCAGATGGATACAATATCCTTATTTTTATTTGTTTATTTCTATGTGGTACTGGATTAAACCTGGGCCTCAGGTGTACGAGGCAAGCACTCTATCATTGAGCTACAACTCAGCCCTGTTTGGAAGTTTTAAGAGGAGAGGAAAGACTATAATCTATAGGTTGATTAGCTCTGCCTCATTCAGTTCCTGCTGAACTCTTCTGTGTGCTGATTGGTTCAAAAGTTTTAAATAGCGATAATAAGGATGCAGTTAGTTCAATGAATGATAAATTGTTTGTAGCCAAAGATTTATATGTTTTATAGTGTGTTAAAGTTGAAGAGTTGGTGGGKTTTTTTTGGGGGGGAGGGTAGGGAGGGCTTAGACTATCTTGTTCCATCAATCAACTGTCAGACAACCAGAATCTAACATAACACAGGTTAAGCATCTCTAATCTGAAAATCGGAAATCTAAAATTCTCCAAAATTTTAAACTTTTTTTAAGTGCTAACATTATGACACAAATGGAAACTTCAAAACCTGACCTCATATGTCAAGTTGTAGTCAAGATGCAGGCACATTAAAATTATCATATAAAATTAGCTTCAGTCTATGTGTATAAGGTATATGAGAAACAGAAATGATTTTTTGTGTTTAAATTTGGGCCCCATACCCAAATTATCTCATTACATATATGAAAATATTCCAAAATTATGAAAAAAAATACCAGAAATACTTTTGGTACCAAGCATTTTGGATAAGAGATATTCAAATATAATAATGTGATATCCATGTAGCACTTCTCAATTTACAAAATACTTTTACAGATAAGGTAAGGTAGTAATTATTCATTCCATTAAAAAAAAAGATGTGTATATGGATGCTTTGAATCGGTAAAAGTTACTCATGGTTATCCAACTACAGTGCATGGTGAAACTAGGGCTAGGACTCTGTGAGTCCAGAGACTCCACCTAAATATGCTGTCTGATGAGTACTCTCAATCTTCTTGTAATGAAAAATAATTTCCTTGATATCTGCTACATATTTTCTCCCTTACCTCTGTCCTTCTCTTCCCTCTCATTTCAGTCTGTTCATTGCCTTGAGTCACCTACACCTCTGAATGGTTGCAGAATAGCAATATACCCAGTACTATACAAAATAGGCAAATGCCCTGTTTGACAGCCTTTCAGTTTCAAATCTTTGAATTAACTTAACTGATGGATTCAATTAGTTTTTGTCTTAATACAATAATATATTTCTCCTGAATATTTTTTTCTCTTTGGTTCTCCTATATATTTTAAAATTAATGCACATTATTTTTTGAGTGGCTTTAGTTTTAGTGAAAAAAAAAATGATCAGAATGCCCAGAGAGAATACCTCCTCAAACTCCCAGCATTAATATTTTATATCAGGATACTACATTTGTTAGAACTCTCTTGCCTATGTTGATACATTATTATTAAGTAAAGTTTGCAGTTTAAATTAGGGTTTATTCTTTGTGGTGTATTTTCAATGGGTTTTGACAAAATTATAGTAATATGAATGCACAATTATAGTGTTATACAGAGTAATTTCATTGTCTTAAAAAATCTTCTGTGGTCTAACTATTCATCTCTCCCTCTCCCCCAACCCCTGGCAACCACTGATTGTTTTATTGTCTTCATAGTTTTACCTTTTCCAGAATGTCATTGGAATCATGTAGTATACAGCCATTTCAGATTAGCTTCTTTCACTTGGTAATTCACATTTAAGTTTTTTAATTTTAATTTTTATTTAGTTGTTGATRGACCTTTATTTTATTTATTTATTTTTATGTGTTGCTGAGAATTGAACCCAATGCCTCACACATGCTGGGCAAGTACACTACCTCTGAGCCCTAGCCCCAGCCCCACATTTAAGTTTTTGAATGTCCTTTCATAGCTTGAAAGTTCATTTCTTTTTAATCACAGAATAATATTCTATGAAATGGTGTACTAAACTTTGTCCACTCACCTGTTAAAGGAAATCATCATCTCCAAGTTTTGGCAATTATAAATGAGGCTACTTTAAACATTTGTGTGCAGGTTTTTGTGAGAGCATAAGTTTTCAGTTCATTTAGGCAAATACCAAGGAGCACAACTGCTGAATTTTGTTTTACTTTTAAGTATAAATAAGGACTCATTATTATCTTTCCTTCTTAGATGTGAAATATAGTAGCTTAAGAGTAATTGGGGCTGGGGTTGTAGCTCAGTAGTAAAGCACTTGCCTAGCATGTGTGAGGCAAAAGGTTTGATTCTCGGCACCGCATATAAAAGAAATAAAAATAAATGTCCATTGACAACAAAAAAATATTTTTTAAAAAGTGATAACTCCAGATTAACATCCCCTTTTTGATTTTATGAAATACTTTCAATTTCCTATAAGCTCTCAGATGTTTTCATTACTCCTTATTTATTTATTTATTTATTTATTCCCAACCACAACTTTTTTATTTTTGCTTACACTTGACTCTTGGGCTGGGGTTGTGTCTTAGTGGTAGAGTGCTTGCCTAACATGTGTGAGGCACTGGGTTCAATTCTTAGCACCACATATAAATGAATAAATAAAATAATGGTCCATCAACAACTAAAATAAATATTTTTTTAATTTACTTTTTAAAAAATTTACTTATTTTTTGTTTGTTTTTAAATTGATTTTTGAAAAATAAATGACAGCGGAATATATTACAATTCTTATTACACATATACAGGACAATTTTTCATATCTCTGGTTGTATATAAAGTATGTTGACATCAATTCATGTCTTCATACATGTACTTTGGATAATGATGTCTATCACATTCCACCATTTTTGCTAACCCCCTGCCCCCTCCCTTCCCTTCCCATCCCTCTGCCCTATCTAGAGTTTCTCTATTCCTCCCATGCTCCCCCTCCCTACCCCACTATGAGTCAGTCTCCTTATATCAGAGAAAACATTCGGCATTTGTTTTCTTGGGCTTGTCTAACTTCACTTAGCATTATCTTCTCCAACACCATCCAGTTACCTGCAAATGCCATGATTTCATTCTCTTTTATTGATTTTTCAGTGTGTCAGGAAGCTGTCTGGGAAGCCTTCAGGACTTTTTGGGATCGACTTCCTGGGCGTGAGGAATATCATTACTGGATGAATTTGTGTGAGGATGGAATCACAAGTGTGTTTGAAATAGGCACCAATTTTAGTCAGTCTGTGGAACACAGAAACTTAATCATGAAGGTAAGTGTCGCAAGGAGGGGAGGAATTGTTGCATCTTCATAGAAGCACACAGTGCACAGCTAAGTTCTGAGGAAGGAAGAGCTAGTGACAAAACCCTATATTATTTTGTTGTTGTTGTTGAATTGGGCTGTCTTAATGAGCTGCCTGGGGTGTAGCTTAGTCTTTCATCCCAGTCTTTTATCTTGCCTTTATAACAAACATTGCTGAGTCAAACAATAGCCCCAGCTTTGTTTATAAATGTAAATAGTTGGAATAGTCAACAAAAGCTTAGTAAAAAGTATAGATTTGTGAGAGTCAAATTTTTTTACATTTATTTTTAGTTKTTGATGAACCATTATTTAATTTATTTATTTATATGTGGTGCTGAGAATCAAACCCAGTGTCTCACACGTGTTAGGCAAGCACTCTACCACGGAAAAACAACCCACAAATATTTGACACAAGAGTCAAATATTTTTGAAATATTATGTGCATATTAGTCAGAGTGAATATCAATGATTTCAATTAAAACATAGGATATAGTCCATTGAATAAATATTTAGTGAAGCATACATATGATTCTTATTAATTATTTGCTTACTTATTTTCCTTTCTCATTAATTGTTTTCCTTTAGTTTCTTCTTAGCAAAATATAAATAAACATGCCTACTGACAAATTACCTTCCCACTTTTCCCTTTTCATATACCTATTGCACATGTATTTAGAACGAGAAAATTAAACTGCAGACAAATGTGGCAAATTGTTCATGCTCTCTAATGACTCCTATATCTCTTTGCCCAAGTCCTATATGTCCTCAGCTCAGGTATAACCTCCCCTGTAAAAAAAACAACCCTTAGTATAGCCGATTTAGCTCTTCTAGTCTCCTGAGTTCCCACCATTCTTTACTTTTTCTTGATGTTGTAGTTCTTACATTTGATTATTACCAGTTGTATATTTGACTGAACTAGACTATAAATCAGAAGGCAAAGATTATGTCATATGTTAATTTTTACATTCCCATGATATAGTAATATGCAATAGATAATTTGCTAAAATAAAAGTTTATAAGCAATAGCTAAAATGTCTTTTTCCTGATATTATTTATACTTCATGAATATTATTTCAAATACTAGTTGTATTGTGTACTTGGAAGGGCTGAAAATTATGTAAATAACAGCTATTTTTATTTGGATCTAATCAAATCATATTAGTACAACTTAGAGTGGTAAAATAAATTATATTCTATTTTTGAACTTTTATTTCTAGTAAAGGCATTCTATTATTTTCTTTAATATTTGATCTCACAGACAGATGATCTCATTCAGTGGGCATAAGCTGGCAAGAAAAGAGTGATCTGATAAACATGGGTAAAGACACATTTTGTTGTGTCATAAATATTTTGAAGGCATGCAGATTTTTGTGTTTTAAAATTATGTGTAGATGTAACAGGGAGAATGGGTTTAATTTAAATGTGTTTATTTGAGCTGTCTGCGTGAAATATGAATTGCTTGATATTTAGCTATGAAACCAAGGAGAATGGTCCAGGTTCTACATATAGCTATAGGAATCACCAGACCTGAGGTAGTAATTGTAACCTCAAGGGTGGCTGAGATTATTCTGAGAATCTGTAGAGGAAGGGCAAGAGTGAATTGTTTATTCATATCATTATAAGTGTTTAGGTTAATAGCCTTTCCATTTCACCGACAAGAAAACTAATGCCTGGCACCAGAAAGATTTGGAGATTTGATGTATTGCTAGGGAGGGTGAAACTGAAACTTGAAATTAAGTTAGTGTTCTGATTCTAAGTTAGTGTTCTTTTTATCATATTGGTCTCAAAATAAAACTAAATTAGAAGAAATTTGGTGACAATTTGATTTAGAAGACCCCCTGAGGAATAACCCAATTACTGATTTGTCTCTTTGTCTAGATTCTGGAGAAACAGATTTATCAGTTATTCAATCTACATGTTTGTGCTATTATAGGATGGGTATTATATATAAATTCATTAGATCACAAAATTCTTTTATTATAAGTTTATGGCAGGTTAATGTGAAACTCTACCCATCTCGAGCTGGGCATGGTGGTGCACGCCTGTAATCCCAGCATCTTGGGAGGCTGAGACAGGAGGATCGTGAGTTCAAAGCCAGCCTCAGCAATAGTGAGGAGCTAGGCAATTCAGTGAGACCCTGTCTCTAAATAAAATACAAAATAGGGCTGGGGATGTTGCTCAGTGGTCAAGTGTCCCTGAATTCAATCTATACCAAAAAAGAGAGAGAAAGAGAGAAAGAGAGAGGAGGGAGGGAGGGAGGGAGAGAGAGAGAGAGAGAGAGAGAGAGAGAGAGAGAGAGAGAGAGAAATAATGAAAGAAAGAAAGGAAGAAAGAAAGGAAGGAAGGAAGATAGAAAGAAAAAGAAAACTCTACCCATCTCCATAACTTACAGACATTTTTGGAATGATTAGCAGGTAAAGACTTAAACCGGGCCCATTAAGAGAGAGCACAGAAACTATTGGGCACATAAACAGAGACTGAGTATTGGGATGTTCTCACAGTCACCAGACCAATTTGGCATTATCAGTACTTGTTCTCATTGTGAACCATGGAGCATCATAACATACATTTTACCATGTTTAGGTGTTAGAGTTCATTATGGAATAAGTTTTATTTTCTACCTTATAACTATTGTTATCTCACTCATTTTTATATCTTTGTTTTCCTTAGAAATTATCTTACACAAAGGAAACCATAAGCAGGTGAGGGTGTCCCCCCGCCACCCCATACCCAAATTCATGTTTGACAATGTAGATGTGTAATTCCTACTTTAAGATCCACTTCAAATTTAATGGTTCCTTTTCTGTTTTACCAGTTCCTGCAAGGACCAGGCCTGTGGGTAAGTCTCAAATTGTTCTTCTTCATCGGAGTCTACCTCCCTTTCCAGAACACCACCATAGCCATTAATTTATTGACTGACCTGATCAAGGGGCAGACTTGTTCCTGTCTCTAGAAAATAGATTTATGGTTTGAACTATTGAGATTGTTGTTGAGGTTTAAGGCTAACAGTGAAATTGTTCTGAATGGGAAAAAGTCTTCAGCCTATAAATATTAAAATGAAATATTGTCCATTGTCTAATACTCTTTTTCCAGCTGAATTCTTTTTTCTAATTTTTTATTTGTTTTAATTAGTTATATATGACAGTAGAATGTATTTATACACTTTAATATATCATACATAGATGGGATGTAATTTCTCATTTTTCTGAGTACACATATTGCAGAATTATATTGGTCATATAGTCACATATCTACATACAGTAATAATATCTGTTTCATTCTACTATCTTTCCTACCCCCACATCCCTTCCCCTCCCCTTCCATTACTTCCCTCTACCTAATTTAAGGTAATACTATTCTTCCTTAGTGCCCCTGCCTTATTGTGAATTAGCATCTGCATATTAGAGAAAACATTCAGCATTTGGTTTTGTGGGATTGGCTTATTTCACTTAGCACGATATTCTCCAACTCCAACCATTTAATGCCAAATGCCATAATTTCACTATTCTTTAAAGCTGTGTAGTATTTCAGTGAGTATGTATATCACATTTTCTTTACCCATTCATCTATTGAGGGATACCTAGGTTGGTCCCTTCGTAGCTATTGTGAATTGAGCTGCTGTAAACATCAATGTGGCTACATTACTGTAGTATGCTGATTTTATGTCCTTTGGGTATAAACCAAGGAGTGGGATGGCTGAGTCAAATGGTGGTTCCATTCTAAGTTTTCTGAGGAATCTCCATATGGCTTTCCATAGTGGTTTGCACCAATTTGCAGTCCCATTAGCAATGTATGAGTGTATCTTTTTCACCACATCCTTGCCAACATTTATTGTTGCCTGTATTCTTGATGATTGCTATTCTGACAGGAATGAGATGAAATCTTAGAGTAGTTTTGATTTKCATCTTTCTAATTGCTAGAGATGTTGAACATTTTTTCATGTATTTGTTGATCAGTTGTATTTCTTCTTCTGTGAAGTGTTTATTCAGTTCCTTAGCCCATTTATTTGATTTATTGATTGGGTTATTATTATTATTATTTTTTGCTGTTAAGTTTTTTTATATATATCCTAGAGATTAATGCTTTATCAGAGGTGCATGTGGTAAAGATTTCTCCCAATCTGTAGGCTCTCTCCTCACATTATTCTTGTTTCCTTTGCTAAGAAGAACCTTTTTAATTTGAATTCTTCCCATTTATTGATTCTTGATTTTACTTCTTACTCTTTAGGAGTCTTGTTAAGGAAGTCAGATCCTAGGCCCATGTGGTGAAGACTTGGGCCTGTTTTTTCTTCTATTAGGCRCAGGGTCTCTCTTTGTTTTAGTGCCTAAGTCTTTGTTCTACTTTGAGTTGATTTTTGTGCAGGGTGAGAGATAGAGGTTTAATTTCATTTTTATACATATGGATTTCCAGTTTTGCCAGCACCATTTGTTGAATAGGCTATCTTTTCTCCAGTGAATGTTTTTGGCACCCCTGTCTAGTATGAGATAACTGTATTTATGTGGATTTGTCTCTGTGTCTTCTATTCTGTACCATTGGTCTATAAGCCTATTTTGGTGCCATATCATGCTGTTTTTGTTACTATAGCTCTGTAATATAGTTTAAGTCTGGTATTGTGATGCCTTCTGCTTCACTTTTCTTGCTAAGGATTGCTTTAGCTATTCTGAGTCTTTTACATTTCCAGATGAATTTCATGATTACTTTTTCTAGTTTTTGAAGAATGTCAGTGGGGTTTGAATAGGAATTGCATTAAATCTGTATAACACTTTTGGTGGTATGGCCATTTTGACAACATTAATCTGCCTATCCAGGAGTATGGGTGATCTTTCCATCTTCTGATTCTTCAATTTCTTTCTTTAGTGTTTTGTAGTTTTCATTGTAGAGGTCTTTCACCTCTTTTGTTAGATTGATTCCCAGGTATTTTATTTTTTTGAGGCTATTATGAATGGAGTAGTTTTCCTAATAATAGGATTCATCACTAATACATAGGAATGCATTTGATTTATGGGTGTTGATTTTATATCCTGCTACTTTGTTGAATTCATTTATTCGTTCTAGAAGTTTTTAGTGGAATTTTTTTTATCTTCGAAGTATAGAATCATGTCATCATCAAATAGTGATAGTTTGAGTTCTTCTTTACCTATTTGTATCCATTTATTTTTTTCTTTTGTCTAATTGCTCTGGCTAGAGTTTTAAGGATGATGTTGAATAGAAGTGGCAAAAGAGGACATCCTTGTTTTGTTCCAGTTTTTAGTGGGAATGCTTTCAATTTTTCTTCATTTAGAATGATGCTGGCCTTGGATTTAGCATATATAGCTTTTACAATGTTGAGATATGTTCCTACTATCCCTGGTTTTTCTAGTGTTTTGAACATGAAGGGRTGCTGTATTTTGTCAAATGCTTTTTCTGCATATATTGAGATGATCATATGATTCTTGTTTTTAAGTCTATTAATATGATGAATTATGTTTATTGATTTCTGTATGTTGAACCAACCCTGCATCCCTGGGATGAATATTCGCTCAGTGGTAGAAATCCCCTGGTAGGTGAGGATGGGAAGAAGAATGGATATGAGGTTTTACCTTCAAGTGGTTTAAATGTAATTTTAATAATTATATAACTAGAGGCTTTTCAACTTAATTAAAAAATAAAAATAGCCAACACTACTATAGAAATTGTAGGCCAGCCACTGTTGCAGGTACGTTATTACTTGTATTCATTTATTTAATCCTCTAAACAGTATAATGAAGCAGGCATTGTTATTATTATCCTTTGTTGTTGTTGTAGATGGACATAACTTATTTTTTTAATGTGGTGCTGAGGATTGAACCCAGTGCTTCACATGTGCTAGGCAAGCACCCTACCATTGAGCCACAACCTCAACCCTATTATCCTTTTTTTTAAAAAAAAGAAAGAATATTAAGGCACAGAGAATTTAATGGACTTATAGAATGTTGTAAAACTACTAAATGATAGAGCCAGGGTTTAGCCCTTATATTCTATCTCTAATCACGTTATCTGAATTTTCTAGATCATTTAGGAATAAAAATTTATTTTCCTTTGTTGCATGCATATGTGTGTGAATGAGAAAGGGGAACATGAATAATGAAAATAAATTTCTACTTTAGTAGTTTTCGTGATTAAAAAATGATGTAACGAATTTTCATGCAGATCTTTGCTACAATTTAAAAATATTGTCTACTGAAGTTAAAAGAAACTAACTTCRAATGATTTAGAAAGTAATTGTGTCATATTTAGAAAAAACTTCTCTATAATAATACTTCTTAATTAACCAATCTGTCATCATATTGAATATCCATCATATGGTCTGTCTGAGTCCATGCAGAAGGCAGAATGTGAAACAGACAGTGCTGATCTCATAGAGGTTCTGGGTTTTACCAAGAACTTGTTGCAAGCCTCGTCTGTTTCATTTTATAGATATAAAAATAAATTTGCTCCTGAGGCTTTGGGGAATCATCAAATGATCAAGGAGAAAATAATTCCTCCTAGAAGGTCAGGAATGCCTCCTTTGTCTTTTTGTGTTCCTCAGGAGCACATTCATGAGTGTGGGGGCCAGATGTACTGCTCCTTGTGCTGTGCTTCTGTCAGTAAGTATTGGCTAGTGCAGGGTTACTCTTGTGGAGTGAACTGGTAGTATTCTCAGTACAAACAGTAGAGGGATGGCAGTGACATTCCCTGAACTTTAATGAAATTATATGTCCCTAAACCTACCTTCAAATCTTAAGTGTCAGTATGTATATATACATACAGTGCTTTATATTTTAACAAACTTTTTTGTACATGTAATCTTTACAATTATCCCATGAATTTTACAGAGTGAAATTCTCTGAATAGGAAATTTATTCAAAATTCCTTCTGTTTAGTGACAGAAAAATGGAACAATCAAATTAATTAGTAGGCTCTGGGATATTTAGCAATGCCAGGAAAAGGAAAGTTAACTAGTTTGGTAGTATAAACATTTTGAGTTGGAGTTTATTAGAAAGCACCCCAATCAATATTCAGCAACAATTCTATTTTTAAAAATATTTTTTCTCTGAAAAAAGTTGAAATCATGAAGACTTTCAGACACATAGACAAGCTCCAAGTCTATTTTGACTCTGTTCCTTTTGTCTCTGTGGACAAACTGTGGACAAACTTGTAGAAGCAGATGATGATGGAAGAGCGTTGACATTGTATGRCATTGCTTAGAAAAGTAATTTCATTTCTTTTAGGAAACCGTTAGGTACAGATTTTGAGTCTTTACTAAACATACATAGATGATGTTTGTTTGATGCCTAGACAAGATATTAATACTTTTTCCTTTTGCCACTCAGAAATTTTGGTTTTCAAAATTTGTTTATATTGAAAAATAGATCTAGATTTAGTTTTCTGAATTGATTATTAGAATTTGTTTACCAGTACAAAATACTAATTCATCAAGGATTTATTTAAAAATGAGTATTTTTTTAATAGAAGGTAATATACTGACTGGAAAAGTTTACTAAGAATACCACTGGGAATCAGGAGACCTTTTCTTTTCTTTTAACTAGCTACATGATTTTTCCTGAATTGCCTAAGAAATCTGGATTTGAGGCTGGTTGTATATCTCAGAGTAGAGTTCTGTGTCAAGGGGAAGCTGATCAAGAAACTGATTCAGGATCCCAGCAGGTGGAAGAAGATGCAAGATGCAGTTGCGATAGCAGAT